CGGAGCCGCGCCAGGGCCCGGCAGGGGCGGGGGACAGGAGGCCGGCGCCAGCATCTCCATCCTCTGCGCTCCACGGCTGCGGCGCCCCAGGCCGGGCCACCGGGACGCAGCTCCAGACCCTTTGTCCCTCCGAACCCGCCTAACCCAGGGCAGGGCACTGGGCGACGCCTCTTCGCCCAGTCCCTACCTCCCGTCTCATCGTAGCTCCGGACACCCGCTGCCCCTCGGCCGGCGGCGCCCCCACGCTGTCCTGGTCCACAGGACCTGCCGTTTGGGCTGTCACATTCGTCGTGTGGGGAGACGAGTGTGACTTTCCCAGGTGTGATGGTGTGCTCCCCGGACCGTGGCCCACCTGGCCTGATCAAAGGCCGGCACGGTGGTGCCAGGAGGGGATCTCAGGCTGGATAGACCCTTGTGTGAAATCGTCTATAAGATTTTCCTCTGTTTTCATTATTTAAAGGGGGATTGCTGCCACGTTTCTTAAAGATAAAGACCCTTAGTGCTCTCTCTGATGGCCTCCCCCTTCCTCACTGCGGTTAATTATCATTTGGAACATCAGGGTGTGTTTGAAGTTGGCCAGACTCCCAGACCCTGGTAATGAATTGATAATTTCAGGTAGTGGAGGCGGCAGCAGCCTTTTCCTCTTTAATGCATGGATTCTATTAATACATTTTTTTTTGACTTTGTTTACTATTCTCTTTTGGGGCTATTGACCTCGTGGTCCCTCTGGGGTTGATGCAGTGCTGTGTTGTTATTATTATTTTATTTTATACTGAGAAAGGAAATCAAGGGATAGATCACTGAAGTGGGGTTGGTTGATTTCATTGCTCTGCAGTTGGGTTGTCCTCGGGAGAAAAATGTAAGTTAAAATTCATTTCAGAAGGGACACTCTCACCACTGATGCAAATACATCCCTATCCACCTATACATCACTCTATACGAGTGTTTTTTTGTTGTTATTGTTTGTTTTTTTACTTGACTGTATAGTATGATCATCTGGGAAACTTATATATATTTTTTTTACTGATAATCAAAACCTTATTGAAAAACGGACACCAAAATAGGAAATCATTGTATACCTTACAAAAATCAAACATAATTACATTATCTTGGTAGATTTACTAGAATTACTGAACTTATGATAAGGCATTCTGTGAGAGAACAAATTCAGTAAGTTGTAGGTCATTAGTGTTGCTTTTTTCTAAATGAAAAACCTTCTGTGAGTCTGGCTTTTTCTATTGTCGGCTGGTGTGTAGCACCGCTGAATACCTGATACTGAACCACTGTCTGAGCATGGCTGAAGATTGGTGTTCTTGTGGCAGCCTGGACACTTTACATCCATAAAGTAAGAATTTGGACTTTGAATTAGCCATTTCTTTTTATGTTTTTTCTTTTCTTCTTCTAAGGATAGATGTAGTAAATCTCTAGGTAGAGGCATCTTGATCCTTTTGCAAGCCAAGATCTTCCCGATCTCTGGGGGACTGTCGAAAAGATCCGTTCCTTGGGCCTACTCCCACAGATTCTGATTTAATTGCTTAGGTGGGTTCCAGGCATTGGTATCTTTTTTTTTTTTTTTTAAAGAATTATTTATTTAATTTTTATTTATTCATTTATTTTAATTTGACCAGAGAGAGAGAGGGAAAGCGAGAAAGCAAGCCACCAGGTCCAGGACTGGAACTGTGGTCAACCCTATGGGAGTGTCCAGTGCCATCTGCTGGTCCCCAGGCTTTGGTATCTTCACAATGATTATTAATGTGTATGCGGAGGACCTCTGATGAGTAACCAGACCCATCAGCATGCCTCCTTTTTTCTTAAAGCACTTAGTATTATGCGACTTACTTGACTGAACTGATATATCTCTACCCACCATGTAATCTTTGTGAATATTTGGGACTCTACTTTGAAAGAAGGACAGTGGAAGATCTAGGGGAGTCAGCATTTTGGGCATGTGAGGTGGGGGTGTGTGTGAGAGAGATGGAACCTGGGGAAGTCCTGTTGACTACTGTCCCTGCCTCGTCTTTGTTCAGGGATTGACCCTATTCAGTTCACCCGTCTTTGTATAGGTCTTGGATGGGTCTGCAGTTCTTTCTGTATAGATCTTGCCCTGTTAAATTTCAAGGTCGTTCTCAGTATTCAATGATATATAGCTAAACTTTGGAAAGTTTGAAATACAGACACGAAAGTTTGGGTATATTTGTGTGAAATCTGTGGTTTTATCTTTTACGTAGGGGACCATATATCCCAAATGAAAATTCCAGACTTGCTCTGACTAGTACAGTTACATTTACTTGGTAACACGTCAGAGTATTTAGGATAGGGATTGTCCTCTAATATGTTGTCTCTGTGACGTGGTTGTGTGAGAATGTTAGCTGTCTAGGGTTGATGCCTGTTAGTACTCAGCTCAGGTGTTTTATTTGAGTTACTGGCAGTTGTAATTCCAAGTGATATAAGCAGTCACTTTATAATTCTCCTGTGAGGTGAGGGTGGGAAGTTAATCTAACAGCCGTTTAGGGTTATTGTCACAGACCATAAAGACGTTAGATTCACCAGTACGTGTCTTAGACACAAAGGAAATCTTAGACAAAATTCGACAGAACAGTCCCAACAAATACTGTGCTCTCCATGCAATACAGACCGTATATTTTACTTTTTGCTTCTCCTCTGCATTTAATAACAAAACAAGAGTAAATGGTGTTCTGGTACTTCGTGAGATTTGAGAACAAGACCACTCAAGTTTAGACTCCTTGAATCACTACTTTTAAATCTGTACAGATACTCTTGTCTTCTATAGTGAGAGGATGGATCATTGAACTACATGATCTTGTTTTTATGAAGAATAGCATTTGGGGCTTTTCTATTTAGTTTATTTATTTGTTTTTATTTATAATGCTATTTGTAGAGTTTCGACCTTCAGCTAATGTCTGACAGTGCTTTGTCAGGGGGAAGTTATTGTATGTAAATTTAATGTATACAAATAGCCAGGAGACTATTTTTTTATTTTTAAAGAATTGTTTATTTAATTTTATATATTATTATTTTAAATTTGCTATATTATTATTATTTTAAGTGTGCTCACTTAAGAGAGACTGAAAGGGAAAGACAGGCCTCCAGGTCCAGGACTTGAACTGCAGATGGCCATGTGGGAGTCTAGTGCCTTAACAACTATGTCACCTGCTGGCTCCCAGTTACTGCTTTTTACTAGTAGAAAAAGAAAATGTTGTTATTCCCATTCATCCTACTACATCATACTTAAATCTGTGTATAATGTTTTATACTCTTAGTTTCTGTTTTCCTTTACTTAATTTTCAGTATCTTTAACCTTTTATCATGTGCTTATTTTTGTTGCAGCAGGAAGAATGGGATAAAAACAAAAAAAAATTAATGTGTGCTTCCAACATATCAAGAAAAGAATGAGGGCAGCTGGTCACCATTGCTTGAGTTCAAGATTACACTCTAGAAGCAAGTTAGATGTAAACTCTTAATTTCTCAGCTCCAATAAGCATCTCTTTTTGAGAAATTTCCAGAAAAGGTAAATTACATTGAATTGTGTACTTTTATGTAACTTTTTTTCCTGGTCCAACTATGAAAACTGTAGGGTGATTTGATCAATTTTTTTTGGGTCGATTTGAGAAACTTTTTTCTTGAGTCATTCTTATTTAGCACTATTATTCTTACTTGATTCTAAGATGCTTTGAAATATGAACTTATATTCTCACCTGCTCCTTGCAAATACCTTTTTTTATAATTATTTATTTTAAATTTTATTTATTCATTTATTTATTTTAATTTGACCAGAGAGAGACAGACAGACAGAGAGAGAGAGAAAGTGAGAAAGCAAGAAAGCAAGCCACTGGGTCCTAAACTCATATTGATCAGTTGGCCACTTGGGATCTGGCCGCTTCAACCATCAGGTCTGGGGACTTGAAACGTGGTTGGCCATGTGGGAATGTCCAGTGCCTTAACCACCATGCCACCTGCTGGTCCCGCAAATACCTTTTTCTTTTTGGAGAGGTTTTTGGCTATAGGGCGCGAGCGCTCGCCAGACAGACAAAGAGAGACAGAGAGAAAGCGAGAAATCACCCCCAGGGAGGATGGTCACGCCGCAATCCCTTCTCCTCTGTTCTCCTCTCAGGATCTTGGGCACGCACGCACCTGCGCCCAGTGTGAGTTTTAAGCCACTGGGTCCGGGACACGAACTGTGGTTGACTACGTGGGAGTCCAGCGACATAGCCATTACGCTAACTGCTGGTCCCGCAAATACCTTTTTATAAGGCCTAGGTTTTATATTTGTAGGAAAATAAAAACCTGTTACAGGTTTTTCTTCTTTCATTAAGAAATGATTTTATTTTAAATTATTTTCCAAATATTATCTAGTGCCTTGTTTCTCCTTTTATCTCATCTTTAATTAATTAGTTAAATGTTGGGACCAGCAGTTAGCGTAATGGCTATGTCGCTGGACTCCCACGAAGTCGACCATGGTTTGTGTCCCAGACCCGGTGGCTTACAACTCACGCTGGGCACATGTGCGTGTGTGCCCAAGATCCCGATAGGAGAATGGAGGAGAAGGGGTTGCGGTGTGGCCATCCCCCCTGGTGGGTGATTTCTCGCTTTCTGTCTCTCTGTCTATCTCTGTCTGTCTGGCGAGCGCACATGCCCTGTAGCAAAAACCTCTCCAGAAAAAAAAAAGAATTAAATGTTTAGGTTTCCTGGCAAGACCCTCCATAGTTAATGTCAGTAGGAGTTTCTAGCAGTGATGGAATTCTTGCATTGCTGCCCGTAGCCCTGTAGTTCCTTTAGCTTTGGAATCTGCTGTCCTTGCCATCCTTCTGCACCACCGATGACTGCTATGCTGCTGCTGAGTGGCTCTGAACCACACTGGCATCCTCTAAATGCCTGGCATTCACATAGCTCACAGACCACACCTGCCCATGGTGCAGATGAATTCCCACAAAATATCATCTTTGACCTTCTCCCCCTCTGGCTTTCAGAGAAACTTACGATTTTTATGGCCAACTCTTTGAGAAAGATTTCTATAGTACAATGGTTGGGCCTTGGTAATAGAGTTATCTTTCATTTCATAGTCATCTCCTTTTCAGACTTTATAGGCACTTTGGGGTAGATGAATGTCTGGGTAGTTTTGGGGACCATGAAAGGTTAAGTGCAGTCTTTCACAGTGGCTGGCATCCCTATGGAGGTGGCCAGGAGTAGTAGATTTATTTCTCTTTAACAAAGAATCTGGGGGCCAGCTGATGGCGTAGTGGTTATGTCACTGTACTCCCACATGGCCGACCATGGTTTGAATCCCAGACCCTGTAACTTCATACTCACACTGGGCATGTGTGGTTGCATGCCTAAAATCCCAGGAGGATACTGGAGGAGAAGGGATTATGGCATGGCTTTCCCCTCATGAGGGTGATTTATTTCTTTCTGTCTCTCTGGTGAGTAAATGAACCCTATAGCAAAAATCTCTCTCTCAAACAAAAAAAAAAAAAAAAAAAAAAAGGGAACCAGCAGTTAGCGTAATGGCTTTGTCGCTGGACTCCCACGTAGTCGACCGCGGTTCGCGTCCCGGACCCGGTGGCTTAAAACTCACGCCGGGCACATGTGCGTGTGTGCCCAAGATCCTGAGAGGAGAATGGAGGAGAAGGGATTGTGGCGTGGCCATCCCCCCACGGGGTGATTTCTCACTTTCTGTCTCTCTGTCTCTCTTTGTCTGTCTGGCGAGCACACGTGCCCTATAGCAAAAAACCTCTCCAAAAAAAGAAAAGAAAAGAGTCCGCCTCTTACTTATTTTTTAAGTGACTTTTTGCTATAGGGCATGTGTGTTTGCCAGAGAGACAGAGACAGAGAGATAGAAAGTGAGAAATCACTCCTCAAAGGGGGATGATCATGCCGTGGTCTTTTCTCTTCCATTTTTCTCTCAAGATTTTGGGCAAGCACGCACACGTGCCGGCATGAGTTTCAAGCCACCAGATCCAGAACTAAAACCACGGTCAGCCTTGTGGAATCTAGTGAGATAACCATTATGCCATCAGCTGGTCCCAGAATCTGCCTCTTTTCTATTGAGTGAAAGCTTTTCAAGGGGAATTTCTTTTTTCTTTTCTTTTCTTTTTTTTTTTTTTTTTTTTTTTTGTGGGGGT